ATACACAGTCAGATTCTGAGATATATTATAAGATCTGTGGTCCTCATTGCAATTTCTGAGTCTTCTTCTGTTCATGCTTTTGCTAACAATATGTCTGCATGTTTTCCCAGAATGCCACTGATCCACAAGCGCATGTTCTTCAATTCCCCAAGTCTATTGGAGGACTGAGGAGGAGGAAGAGAGACTGGGTTATTCCTCCTCTCAATGTTCCTGAGAATCAGAGAGGAACCTATCCCCTAAAAGTAGCTCAGGTAAGGGGAACTGAATGACTTTTGTTGACATTATTTGTGGACAGGATTTCTCTGTTGTTCCTCTGCAGTGAGCACGTGTTTTTCCCATTTTTAGTTGTCACTATCATCTTCATCTCCAGAATTTCCAGGGTTTTTTTGGATGCCTCTTAGTTATGAGCTAACTTTGTTAATTTTAGATGAATAAAATATCTATGAAAGAGAATGAAAAGTTATTGCTTTAGGGAAAGATCTAAAGTTTATGTGCAGTAATGAGAGCAAGATGTTGGCAGTTAATACATTGACACTTGTTTTATTACTGTCTTTTCCATACTGGAAATTGTTGGAATAACATAATTATTCTAAGAAAACTACAGAGTTGTGTTTCACGCTATATACTGTATATTGGTTAATTTATCTTACGGCATCCACTACTGTGCTGTCCTTCTCTGCTCTCTTATGTTTGATATCAGGATAACCAGGATTATGTTGAATATTAATGTGCATAGCCTCTTTGCTGTTGTATAAATAAAATAAATTTACTTCTTCATTTTCTTTCTGAGCACTCAGAGTGCTTTATACAACTTGTCCTATTCATACGAGGACTTTTCCCCATGCTTTTTCTATGAAAGTGCTTTCTAACATTCACAAACATTGTAAAGCAAATCATGCTTAGTATCTTGCTCAAGGATATTTGAAAAGCAGAGCGAAGTAGATAGGGATTGAACCACCAACCTTATGATCAGTAAATTACCTGCTTGACATCCTGAGCAACAGCTATCCCAGAACTGTTATCCTCATCACTGAGAGTGATTTAAGTCAATGTGGTGTGTTTTTTCCAGATCCGCTTAGAGAATCTAGCAATCTTATTGATTCGAGATCACAAGATGACAGAATCATTCTGATCTGTGTATCAGGATAACCAAGAATCTCTTAATATTTTTGAAGATGAACTTGCACAGCTTCTTTATTGTTGCATAACCTTTACCATAGACAGTGAGAGTGATCTAACTCAGTCCTGTGTGTTTTTTCCAGATCCGCTCTAATGAAGATAAAACAAGGAAGCTCTTTTACAGCATCACTGGTCCAGGAGCTAATCTGCCTCCTGTTGGTCGTTTCAAAATGGACAGAGAGACTGGAAATCTGTATGTAACACAACCACTCGACAGAGAGGAAACAGCCGAATATATAGTAAGCATCCCCACTTTGTCCAAATGTTTTCCAAAGTGTGTATCTTTTGATGATCATCAAAACTTTTTTTATAAACATTTTATGTTATAAGTTCTGTTAAAATTGTTTGTTTTTTGATGTTCTTTGTACATCACATAAAAGAATCAGGCCCTATCTTATCTTAATGACCTTAAAGTACCGTATCACCCCAATTAAGTGCTCTCAGACTGCAGGCTTACTTGTGGTTCTTAGAATATTTAAAGTACTCTTTCTTCTGTAGAACCAGCTTCCAGTTTGGATTTGAGAGATAGACACCCTCTCTACTTTTAAGATTAGACTGAGAACTTTTTTCACTCACTGTGTTTATACACTGCTCTGCATTCAATTATTAGTTATTATTAATCTCTAGCTTTCATGTCAG